ACAAGATCTAGGACACAAGAAACCTTTCCTACAGGATCCTACATCTTTGGTAAGTCACTCAATCTCCTGAGCAAGGAGATTGCTGGACAAATGTACCATGTGCCAAAGGAGGGTCACCATGAAGGAAAAGTCTCCCATGCTTTCACTGAAAGCACCATGGTCAAGCAAGGTTGTGACCCATCCTGATGGCTGACACTGACAGAGGAACTGAGAGGCTCTATGCATGATTCTAAAATAATGCCTAAAGAGACTTAACTGACCTTGATAGATAGGAAGAGGTTCATGTTGATTGACACAGTTCTCACTTTAACTTGGTTTTAAACACCCAATAGAAAACAGTAACTAAAAGAGGCATAACATAATGCCATAGTAATAAGGCTAGATACAAAAAGGGGCTCTAGTCACTGTACCCCTTCTGGCAGTTTCCAGCTCTACCAGTAGCTGACCATGGTTATAGATCACTAGGAAAAAAACTATGGTAAAATCTATAAGAGCTAAGCTAGAGTTTTATATTTCTTAGCAAAATTTATTCTTCAAATTGTCTTTTATCTTAGAGCTAAAACTATGACAAAGTATGAGACTTACAGATAACCTCTTATCAATGAAAGAATCTAACATCAGCAGGTTCAATCACTATTTCAATATCCAAGTGTGACTTTCTCTCCAACCTGCCCTTTCATTCTAGTGTGCTCATGCTTAGATTATGCATACTCTAATTTCTTAAAAGTTTTGTTTATTCTTGCCTAGAGGCTGCCAAACTCATACAAATGGAACCAATGACAAATGTGTTAGATTTCTTTTACTGGGACCCACCAGATTGACCTTGTAAACAGCTCATAACTGCTAGACTGTATGAAATGACTTCTATGTTGGATCCTGAAGTCCCCTGGATGTTCTCCTTATCCTCTTTGTTGGCTATATTCATAGCAATCCTTATAATTTGGCCCATGCATTCTTAACTGTTTCTTTGGCTTTATCTCCTCCAGACTTAAAAGCTACGCAGCTACCAAGATGACAATGCCAGGTGCCTACAGAAGGTTTTTAGGTAGACCCTCTGGAGAGTTAACTCTAACTAGGACCCTCTTCAGCTGGAAGTAGCCAGATGTCTGCCCCCTTCCCCCCCACCCTCACAGTGGTTAGGGGTACTTCTTCAGATGGGGAATATTGCAGATAGGTAAGTTAATTAGATATCTTGTAGGAGGTTAGACAGGGCTGTCCTCAAGGAGCCAACACAGCAAGAAGCCAACATGGAGGACAATCAAGCCACATCCACAGAAGGCCAGAATTGTAAAAGGAGAGAAAGGACTATACCCTTGTGCTTCCCCTGGGGATGAATAGCAGTGATTGATATTCTAAATAGGTATCAATCACCTGGGTGGGGGCCAAGGTGGTAACCCAGCCTTTCCAGGAAATATCCCTGACCCCCACCCTTACTGAAAATCCTTGCATGAGCTTGCTATGTGACTTGTTCCCCATTTGACCCCATTTAATCAATATTACCTGGGTGACTGTATTTGTAATCTTATTGGTTGGTCATGGATTTGCCTCACCTCATGCCCACCTTGTAATTTCCCACTGGTCTTTCTTACAGTTTTGTCCCGCTTTGTACCCGCTTCACCCATGCTTTGCTGTATAAAACATCTTTGAATAGTGGGGTGAGCAGGCAGCGCACTTTACAGTCCCCTTTCTGTCTCTCTTAGACAGAAGCTTTCTTTTCATCAATACATTTTTTCTACTCTTAAAAAAAAGAAAAGAAAAATAATAATGGTCACATACATCGAGCACATACTATGTGTACTTCGATGTGGATTATCATGTTCAAATGTCACACATGTTATCATTATCCCCACTTTCAGGGTGAGGAAATGGAGGCCCAGAGATATTCAGGGGCTTACCCGGGTCACCTGCCTACCAGATGACGGTGCTGGGATCCAAAACCATTCAGCAAGACCCTCTGGCTGATTACCGCCTCTGCACGAGTCCTAGCTGGCTGCCAGTCTTGGAGTGTGCCACACTCCTTCACACTCCTCTGCCTTTGCCCCATCCTGTCAAATCCCCACCTGCCAATCCTTGTTTGTTCTTGAAGGTCTTGCTCATAAATCACCTCCTCTTCAGAGCCTTTTCCAGATTCCCCAGAAAGAGCTGGTTTCTCACTCTTTGATTTTGCAGTTGAGAATCTAATGCTGTGATGATTTGAAGACCTATCTTCTGCTCCAGACTGTGTCCCCAGTAGGCAGGAATAGTGCTGTATCTCCATCTAGTGTCCTCCACAGATCCTGGCACAGAGCAGGTGCTTTCTAAATGCCTGGTGACTGAATGACAGGGTCCTAGGACTCCTTCTCTCAACACAGTTGGGAAAGATGGGTAGGAGTCTCCATTTGGAAACTGGGCAGAGCAGGAAGTTGCAGAGCCCTCAAATGGGAGAAGACCCCATCTAGTAGGGGAACAGTTAGCAAGAATTTTACTAACCTTACCACTTGTCCTTGGGTCAGAACTGTCCCCAGGGGATCCTGCTGATGGGGAAGTTCCATACTTGCACTACTCCCTAGAGGTCGTTGGGAACCAGCTGCCCTACCCTAATGGGTTTTCCCCTCTTGCAATGCCAGAAACTGAACCATAATAAGAAATGACCCTGGCAGGGTCTTTGGCTGCAGGAGGAAGTATGGCCAGATTTCTGTGCATGGTGCTTGGGCCACCCCAGCCAACACCCTTTGGACTTCTGAAACCAAGGGGTTACATAGCTTTGGTAAGACAGTAGTTCCGGAGAGGGTAGGGACTTTCTTGGGGTGTGAGGGAAGTTGCTCCATCCCCTGAGCTATGGTGCAAACACCATCCCATATTGCCTCTCAGCAGCCTGTCACTGTGCCTTGGCTGTGACTTTAGGCAATTTCTGAGCTTCTCTTCCAGGCCTTTAAGAGACACCCAACCTCTGGCCCCTGGCCCTATCCAGTCAACTTTTCCATCTGTGACTGCCTCATTCATGAACTTTCTGGGCCAGGGATGTAGCTCAGTGGCACTCCACCTGCCTAGCAAGTGCAAGGTCCTGAGTTTGAACCCCAGTACAAAAAAACAAAAAACAAAGCAAAACAAACAAACAAAAAAACCCCACAAAACTTCCAAAGGTTCCCTGTGGCACTACACATCCTCCAAACTAGAAACAGAACAGGAGAGAGGCTGTGACTCACCATGTGAACTTGGCTTATTCATTTTACCTCCTTCAGTTCCAGTTCCCTCATCCATCAAAGAAGGACGAAAAATTTGAAAGTATCAGTTAAGCAATTTGACCAATAAAACAAATTCACTCAAAGGAAGCCACCCTAGACTAGTTTATTCTCTAAGTGTGCTCTCTGGGCTATCAGCATCACCTGGGTACTGGCTAGAAAGGCAAATTCCTAGGCCTTGCCCCTGCTCCAGTGAATTAGAAACACTGGAGTGGGGCCCAGCCGCTGTTTTAGCAAACCTTCTAGGAGACTCTGATGCCTGCTAGAGTTCGAGAACCGATACCCTAAATAAATTTAGCAGATGGGCTACATATTGGGAGAAGATATTTAGAATGTCAATATCCAATAAGGGATTGACAGCTAAACTTTGTGATCTACTATTATGAATCTACAAGAAAAAAATGCAGGAAACCCAGTAGAAAATGAGCAAAAGGTATGAACAAGCAATTTACAGAAGGGGAAGTCTAAATGCCGGGTGAATGAATATAGGAGGACGTTCTAAGTCTCAGGGTTAAAAGAGATACACAAGTTAAAACAATGAGATGCCACCTTATGCTTGAATTGCTAGGCCACAAAGATATGGTCAGGAAATGTAAAAGCTTTTCCCCCCCATTTGGTACAGGGGATTGAAGACATGGAAAGACAGCATTGTTCACATGCTGCCGGAGGGGTCATTTTGGAAGAATTCAGTGATGCTTAAAATTTGAATGGGCTGTGATCTACTAATTCCTCTGTTGGGAATAAAGCATGAAGTTTTCACGTAGTCTGTTCCATAAGGGTCAAGTACACAGATGTTCGGTACAGTATTGTTGGTGTTAAGAGAATGTTGGAAAGAGAGAAAAAGAAGAAAAAAAAGTGTTGGAAGCAACCTGGGTGTCCATTACTGGAGAGATGGATAAAAAAGAGTGGATGCTTAGGTTGGACTATTTTTCAGCAGATGGATGTGGTAAGTTAGATTTCCCACAGCAACATGAGTAGATCTTAAATACATTATGGGGTGCAAAAAGAAAGCAACAGCATGAGATCCTTACGCAATACCACTTACATAAACACACACACAATATGGTGGTACTTTCTATGTCAGGGAAACATTTCAGTGTGTGTGTGGGTGGGTGCTTTTGGTGCAAGGGGGCAGGAGTGTGAGGAATGTGTCGCTGGAAAGGAATAAAGGAATACATCAGAAGGACTTTTCACAGGCCAGCAATGATAGGATGTTCATTTGCCATCAGCTAAGTATGAATCATGAATCTCTCCAAACCTAAAATCCTAACAATAATATTACTTAAAAATTGATGATAGCCATACCCCATCCCACCCTTTTTGTACCAGGGACTCAGAACCTTGGGCTTTCAAGGCAGGCAGCAGCACCACTAAGCTAAATCCTTGGCCCTCTACCTTCTTTTTGGTAAGTGCCATGTGTCTGGCCACAGGAGGCTTTCTAAGGTTCTCTAAATTAATGTTAACTCTTCTAGGAGTGTTTCTGGCTTCTTCTCAAAGGCTCAGGTTGTGCCAAGCCTGGTCTCATCTCGACCTCTAGCTCTTTAGCCCTGGCTTCAAATTGCTTTGATTTCCCCCAGACCCCAGGCTGAGGAGTCTTGGGTAATTCTGTGTGGAGCTTGGGCCCAGAGCCCTGGAGAGATGCAGGGGTGAGTCCTGTTTCTCCTCCCAAACTATGAACTCCCTGACAAGTCTTTTTAACACCTTGCCCCACCACAGCTCCCATTCCATTGCCCCAGAAGAGACAGTAAACCAAGCCAGAAGGCATTCCATAGGGAAAGGAACAGCATTTATTGAGCATCAACTATGCGCTAGGCCCAGCACTAAGGTCTTACCCTTCATTAATTTCCCATGACCACCCTGTGAAGGTGGGGCTGAAATGGAGAGAGGAAGAAACTGGGAAACAATATCAAAGGAGAATCAGGAGATTCCCTCACGCCTCTTGCCCTTTTTTGAACTCAGTTTTCAAATCTGTAAAAGAAGTAGAGGTCTCTGAGAAAAAATGCATGTATAAAAAGTAGTGTATGTGTCGTGTGGATTTGACTCAAAATTCTTTTCTCAGTCTGCCAGCAGGTGGAGCCCTTCTTCATCTCTCAGCCTTGGAAAAGCTGAGGGGTCCTGAGGAGGAAGAAATGTTCTGAAGCCGACCAGGGCTCCTTGGCTCCTGCTGACCCCTGGTGACAGCCCGGGCCTTTAGGATCTGCCCTCGCCCGCCCCCTGCAGGACATTCTGGTACTTCAGGGGCCAGAGTCACAAAGGCCAGGGTCAGAGACCCCGGGAGTGGAGCCCTGGTGAAGGGACGCAACAAGGGAGCAAAGATGGGTAGGGATGGGGTCTCACAGGCAAGAGTAAGGAAGGCTCAGAGGCGGACTGCAAGGGGGCAGAGGCTACAGGTAGTTGTCTTCCGCCACATTGCCCCCACCCCGGGACTTGTCATTGTCATTGTCGTCACCGTCACCGTCATCGTCATCGTCTTCGTCGTCAGGGGCCAGCGCCTCAATGTCGTGCGTGATATCTGTCAGCAGCCGGTGGAAGGCCTGCTCCTCGGGCCGCTGGGCCGCGCCGTCATAGCTGCGCACCGCTGACGCCGACGTGGAGCTCATGCTGCGCTTGATGCGGCCAAAGCTGTCGGTGAGGATGCCGCCCTCTCGGATACCCACGCCCTCCAGGAAGCCCTCGAAGTAGCAGATGTCCTGGTCTGGGATGAAGGGCCGCATCCCTGCAGGCCGCGGGCCAGGGTGATTCCCAGGATTCAGCCCCTTCCTTCCCACAGAGGAATCTGCCTCTGACGATCTGAGTTCAAATCCCAACTCTGTCACTTGCTGGATGCGTGGCTTTGACCAAGTTCCTCAACTGTCTGAGCCAGCGGATCATAACACACTTAGCACACAGCAGCTGCTTGCTGTATGTCAGCTTAGTCTATTCCTGCTATGTTCCAGAGTGTGAGCTACGTGACTTTCACTAAATAGCTACTCTGGGCCTCAACTTCTCATCTATAAAACTGAGAGAATTGCACCTGTTCTTATGAGCAGGTGAAGATTAAATAACAAACAACTTTGAACACCTTTGAACACATGCACACTCAATAAACATTATGTCACTTGACCTCCATCCCTGCTTACCAGCTATTTGATTTTACTTTGCTACCCTGAGCCTGTTTCCTCACAGACTCAAAAGGGAAAATAATTGTATCTACTTCCCAGAACAGGGGCCACTCAATGAGATGGTGCTTGATCAGATAACTGCCAAACACATGCATCTTACTGGTATTATTATTCCTGTTGTGGTTATCAGTGCTGCTTCTTAGCTGTGTGAACTTAGGCAGGTTCCTTATTCCCTCTGAGGTTCAGCTTCCTCATGAAGAAAGACAGGAAGACTCTATCTCCTTCCCCACTTTGCTCTGGAGGTGAAATGGCTGCACTAGGACCTCAGTCCAGTCAGCTTTAGTTCCTGACTGTGGCAAATCCTCTCCTGTCTCTGTGCCTCCATCTCCATGTCTGCCCCATGACCTCAAGATCATTATCAGAGGCTGAAGGATAAGAAGAAAACCATCCAGGGTGGCACCTGCTTAGAAATGACACAGACCCAACAGGGGTGCTCACTTCCCCCTGGGGGTGGTGGGGTGGTGGGTCGGGGCTCACCCAGGAGCAGGAACTTGCGGTGGTCTCCGTAGAGCTTCAGCAGGCCGGCACAGAAGTCCTGGATGTGCAGTCCCAGCCGGTACTCCCGCAGGAGCAGTGCAAACTGCTGGATCTCAGAGGACCCCAGCTTACTCCGGAGCTGTGGAGGGACCCCCTTTGCAATCAGTCCCAGGAGCGAGCCTGCCCAGCCTCTGCTCGAAGGATCCAGAGCCCTCTCTGGGGGCCCACATGGGTTGGCCCCCTCCAAAAACCCTTCCGTGGCCTGCTCAGGGGATTCACACCCCCTTGCAGCATCTGAGAATGGCCACTGGAGTCCCAATCCTGGCCCTCTGTGGGGCACAACCTTCCTGATGCTACCCTTCCTCTCCATGAGTGAGATGACAGCACCTCCCTCTTGGGAGTGTTGAAAGGATGAAAAGTAATAAGTGAAAGGTGCTTGGAAAGTACGTGGTGCACAGTGAATGTCAGCTGGCATGAGTCAAGACCTTTCACAAGCTGGCCTCCATTTATTTGCCTGCCCTGGCCTCTGAGGCCTCAGGCTTTGGCACATCCAGGCCTGTGCATGGTTGTTCCAGCCTCCCAGCTTCCTGGCTCACCGTGATCATGTAATCCTGCAGCTGCTCAAGGCTCAGGCCGCTGTGGTCACTGCCACTGCAGTGTGAGCCGTGGAAAGAAGGAGTGGATGTACCACTGTAGCACGCTTCAAATGTGTCCTGGGAACCGTTGCTGCAGGGACAGGAAGAAAAGGACTTTCATTTACTACCCTCCAGCTCCTCTCCCCAGGCAGGCTGGAGTTGGGTGGGTTTCACTACCAATGCCATGGGCCTGAGGCCTCACTGAAGACCCCATTTTGGCCTCCAAGATCCCTCATTTTGGGTCTTGGTCACTTCTCAAGCCTTTCCTCTCACTACTCCCTCTTGGTTTTGGTGCTCTGGCCACCTGCCTTCTCCTTTTCCCTCCTGTACTCCAAATATCTCCTTGCCCCTGGGCCTTTGCACATGCTGCTCACGCTGCCTGGAATGCCTTTCTCCTATCTCACGCTAAAGCTATCTCTTGCTCATCGTCCAATTGTAAACGTCGCTTCTCCGAAAGGTCTCCAAACTGGGTTAGACCCTCTGTCCAATGTGCTCACTCAGACACATCTCCCCGTGATAGGCAGAGCTTTCCAGATCCCCCACCGAACCCTGACTTTCTCCCTGACACCCTCTGCCACCAGCGTGGTAGCCTCCTGCCTAATCCTCAGACAGCCTAAGTTTACCCTGGCTAGAATCCATGCCCTTGCTGTTCCCTCCACTGACATCCTTTCCTCTTCATTCTCCAGACCTGGATCTAAGTGTCATCAGAGCCAGGAGGCCCTCCTGAATCCCCAGCTCAGTGGGGGCCCCTTCACTCTCTCATAGCACGTTGAGCTCTTTAGTGCTCAAAATCCCCAATGCTCATTGCTACTGCATAGCAAGCTCACTGCCTACTGTGTTAGATTGTAAGTGTCACACAAGCCACAGGTTAAAGGTGTGGACTCTAGTGTGTAGCTATCAGGCCTACCGCCCAGATGCTTGATCCTTGGAAAGCTAAACTTAAATTCTCTATTCCTTAGCTTCTTTATCTATAAGATACGGTGACATAAATTGATGCCATCATGAAAATAGTGGAATTAAAGTTTGTAAAATACTTAGAGTCGTGGACTATATGTAATTACTAGTAACCACAGTAATGTTGCCATGTAGCTGCTAATCACACACACACAAATAATTAGTGCTTTATAGAATAGCATTTGGCACAGAGAAACTCAATAAATGTTAGTCATTAGTATGATTTTCATCTCTCCAGTAGACATCAGATTGTTTATGGCCTACCCTAAGGGTACACAGTATTAGGCAAATCTATTGATGCTAAAAAGATAAAACAAATAGTAGAGCACATATCATTGGCAGGAACCGTAACTGCTGATCCAAAGTCCTTTGTAACATGACTAGGGTGACTAATAAGGATTTGCTTCGGCTTTTTGTTTTTAGAATAAAAATCCCATATTCCGGGAAACTCCTCATTCCTGAGCAAACTAAGATAGTTTAGTCACCCTAAACAGAGCCTAGGCAATGTTCCCAACTGAGAAAAAAATATTTCAATCCTAGTTTCCATCCTTGTTTACAGCTAGTTACGACTGTGAGACCAAGTTCTGGTGAATGAGATGTAGGCAGAAGTCCCTGGGTAGGAATTCTAAGGAAAGATTTATTTTTTCTTGCAGTGCAGGGATCGAACCCAGGGCCTTGCTGAGCATGCACTCTACCACTGAGCTACACTGAGCCCAAGTGCGAAATTCCTCAAGGAGTCCTTGGCATGCTGTTTTGATGTCTGCAGCCACATTGGGTCCATGAAGTGACCTTGAGGATGAAAGCACGTGCCCAGAAGAATGGGGCAGGGAAGGAGACTGAGGACTAGGTGATCATTAGGACCTGCACGCCTGCCCTGTTTTATACAAGAAATAAGAAAGAAAGCTAATA